CAGTGAATCGTAGAGAGGATGCAATTTCCCTTCTTCACGACGAAAACATCCAATTCCCAAAGTCTAAGCAGCACATGACTCAGACTCCTCAATTATTGTCCAAAATCCATGCCAAACTTTCTGTATGCTTCACACTTCAAAATATGTTGACTCTGGCAAATAAGGTCCAGTGATTTGATGAGTTTTTGGCAGTAAACAGATAAACACACTGAATCAAATATAAAAAAAGAGAGAAAATCAGAAATCACAAACACAAATGCACAATAAGAATAATCAACTTGGAAGTAGGAACCATAATAACTCCTCTACATACACATACACACACACGAGGAGAATCTGTTTGGAAAAAGGAAGAACATGCTAAGGTGTCTTCCAACAGAGCAGAGATCTTGGCTTGTACAAACAGATGGGCCTCATTTAAACCAGGAGGACTCCTAAATGATTGAATAATTCATCCTTAAAAGAATGAAACAGTTGAATAGGAGTACAGGGTTTGAGGGATGTTTTGTAACTACACCTGGACCGCGGCCCCTGCCAGTGACACTGCCACATGCGGCCTGCGGCTACAGCTGCCCGGAAGATGCTTCTAGGGCCAGCATCCACACACCCGCCCCCCCACCCCCATCACCACAACAACAACTGGCCCTCTCCAGTGCGAGGGGGGGGGGGGGCTCAGAGGAACTGCTGGCCCACGAGGACAGAGACTGAAACACAGACAACACAACCCTCTCACAAGTCTCAAAACAAGGTGGTGTGTTCCAGAAATACAAAAATATAGGGTTAGCAGTAAAGTCAGCTTGTTCCATATGGTCAGAATCACATGACTTTTAATTGAATGTATCAGTTTTCACAGAAGGCAGAACATACAAAGCAATGGCAAAAGATGAATATAAAGTACAGAGCACTCTACTGTCATCAAACATTTCAGTAGTTTTACATCTTATTCCAGTTTCCGGCATCCAAAAAGCCACATTTGTGCCACAGTTTCTGTAAATAATGCTTGAACATTCTGGAAATAGTCCCAGAGGTTCCTGTTGGCTAAGGATTACCTAGAGAATGCCTTGACTCTACATTGTCAATGTGGACCATTTGAAGGCCCTCACTGGAAAACTGCTCCACACAAGGTGTTGCATTTAACGTGCTAGCTGTGCAGAAAACATCACCGCAGATAGAGCTACTGTTGTTCAGTGGCTTAAATGCACGGACAGATTCTGCATAATGACATGGTTTCATTGTGGATATTTCCTCTGTTGCAGAATTTACGAATGATTCATCTTGATTTCTTTATTTTAGATTTTAATGTACAGTATTACACAGCACTGATGTATGGAAATTATACGACAACCTGCTTATGAAGGTGATTTTCAAGCAGGTGATTTTCTTGTTAAAAGTGTTGCATGGGCAGAAATGCACAGCTTCAGCTGGAGACTCGGTTGGTAAGAGCGGTCACATGAGGGGAATATTCAGCTGGAGACTCGGTTGGTAAGAGCGGTCACATGAGGGGAATATTCAGCTGGAGACTCGGTTGGTAAGAGCAGTCACATG